ATAAACAACTATAAAAATAAACAACTATAAAAATAAACAACTATAAAAATAAACAACAAAAAATCTATTATTATTTTTTCTAATACATTATATATATATTTTTTTCCTTTTTGTTTTCTACAATATTATAACGAATATAAAATATCGAATTATTTTTATTTTTTTATAACTATTTTTCTATCAAGATTTCATCTAATAATAACTACAATTATCGACTTATACCTTTTTGCTATAAAAATCTATATCCGCTATATATTCTTTTTTCCACTTACAACACGCCCTCCCCTAAATAATTATTTCTCCGCCCCCTCCAAATCTGGGCCTTATACCAACTCCAATTCTTCGTTACTCACTTGACACTCCAACCAATTTAAGAAGTCTGGAGTCAAATAGTTCCCTAATATTCTCATTTCTTCCTATTTGATCACCACCTCCTCTTCGACACTCTCCTCTCCTCCTCCCAGCTAGTTGCTTCTTAGATCGCTCTCTTCATGGACTTCCTCCTCGTCATGATTGCCTTCCACTTCACTCCAACCCCCAACGGTACTAATGTCTTTCGGCCAAACTACCTCGCCCACGTGGACTGCTGTCTCCCCTATCGATGTTCCGTTATCCCCAGCTATCTCATTCTCACAGACGGCCTGCTCCCACATCTTCCCTTCTCCAGCCAAATGAGGGCGCTGGTTCGCGAGATGCCCCCTCCGGTGACTCCAATAGCATCTTCTTTTTTCTATACGCGTCGGCGTTTCCTGTCCGAATATTCCCATTCGCTCTTAACAGTCTGGTCTCCGATTGGGCCTCACCGTCACCTGCACCTCGAAGTCTCTAAATACCCACAGATGTTGCATACTCTATTCCTTTAAATTTCTCCTGGTCAATCCGTCGGCGAAGCTGATCCCTGTGTCTAACACCTTGTCTCCCATCAGCAAACTCCACCTGATTTACCCTGTTTCCCAGATTTTTCAAAATCACTCCGGGCTTCCATTTTTTATCACTTCCATACATTCTTGCCCATATTGTCTGCCCCACCACAAACTCCGATTTATTCTCCATTCCGCACTGTTTCTCTCCCTCAATGGCCGGTTTCAGCGCACCCAACCAAATTCGAGTTCTTCGTCCCAAAAACTTCTCTGCTGGCGACAGCTCCTCTCCTTTTCTACTGTTGTTATAGTACGCTACTGCCCTCCACATCTCTCCGCCTCCATCCTTTGATTTTCTTAACCAGTTCTTGACCACCGCTACCATCCTCTCCGCTTGTCCATTCGAACTCGGATGATATGGAGGCGCTAAAATGTGTTTCGCTCCAGTTTCTGTACAAAAGATTTCGAATTGTCTACTAATGAAAGCAGGGCCCCTGTCCGTTACCACTGTCATAGCCACCCCAAATTTGGCCCATAAATTTTTTAATACTTTTATAACGATCTGGGTTATTAATCCTTTTACTTCCTCATATTCTACCCATTTCGAAAAAGCATCTACCACTAATATATATATTTTATTTTCGAAGTCAAAGAAATCCAAATGAATGCGCTCCCAAGGCTGCGCTGTCTTCGGCCACACATTTTCTTTATCTTTTCGGGGCATCGGAGCCCAAGAATTACATCTAACACAGGTTCGACTGATATTTTCAATGTCTCGGTTCATTCCTGGCCACCAAACATATTCTCGTTCCCACTTCTTCATTCTTTTCATTCCTTGATGCCCAGCATGAATCATCGCCATTACCACTTCTCTTAGTTTGATTGGTATAACACTCCTATTTCCTCGGACCAAACATTCATCTATTATCGCTAATTCCCTCTGTACATATTTATAGATCTTGTCTCCATCCGCCACATTTTCTGTCCCTTGAGGCAAGCTTTGATCTGTCTCAATTCCTTATCTTTCAAAGTCACCCTTTTAATCTCTTCCCATGTTACTGGCCCGCCTCTAGATACTTCTGCCATGGTCCGAATCAGCCCTTGTTCAAATTCTTCCTCCCTTTCCTCTTGTTCTTTCTCCTCCACATCTTCCCCAGCTCTGCATCTGGATAAAATGTCTGGTAAAAAAATTTCCCCTCCCTCGTCGATATTTCACTTGTACATCAAAACTGCCTACTAGCAATAACCATCTCTGCAGCCTAGGCGATAGCATGAGTTCCTTGTTGTCCTTCGAAAATAGATGCACCAACGGCTTGTGATCGGTGTAAATAATAAATCTGCGCCCTATCAGATATTCACGGCATTTCGTTAAACCGGAAATAACGGCCAATGCTTCTTGTTCAATCACTGAATTTCTGGTCTCTGCCGCTCTGAAAATTCTTGAGAAAAATAACACCGGCCTCTCTACCCCATCAATAAAATGCAGCAGCGCTCCACCCACACAGTGGCTTAGCTACGGGGGTGGTTTTCGGGTTTGCCTCCCAGAGCAAAAATTTTTTTGAGATTATACGTTCAAAAGACTTAAAAGTGATTTTATATGAATTATATTTTTCTGGTTTTGATGTTTGTGGAAGGATATTATATTACTATTGAAATTATTTTGGATAGTATTATAAAGTCATTGAGAATAATCTACTAAATTATAATAACATATTATTGATGCATTTAAAAAATATATATATTATATATTATCGAAGATATGCTTATGATTTGTAAGATAAACCCGGCCTAAGGCCGGGCAAAAGGGCCGAAGGCCCGTTAAAAGGGGTCTGGGGGCGAAGCTCCCCAGGCTTTTATATGTATGGACCACCTCTAAGAAAATTCCTAGCTACGCCACTGCTCCCACACCTTTATTGGATGCATCTACCGCCAAGATCACTTCCAATTCATTATTAAAGCACACTAAAACGGGTTCTTTTTCTATTTGACCTTTTATTTCTTCGAAGGATTCCTCTTGTTCATTTGTCAACTCAAATTTTCTCTCTTTCTATAATAATTGATATAAGGACGCTGCTATTTGAGCAAATCCTTCCACGAACCGATGATAATAATTTACCATCCCCAAAAATGCCTGTATTTCTGCTTTATTACTGGGTTTATCATATTATTAATTCCAATCATATTTCTATCCACCGGCCGCACCTCCTTTTCTGTGATCTTGTGCCCCAGATAAGTCACTTCGGTCACCCCCAACACGCTTTTCCCCCCGCTGGCTCTCAACCCTTTCTCCTTAATTTTTCAAAATACTTCCTCCAATCTCTGTTCATGTTGTTCGGGATTTTTCCCCGTCACCAAGACATCATCCATATAGTAGAAAACTCCTACCATTCCCTGGAAAACCGCAGCCATCGTACGATGAAAAATGGGAGCTGAAACACTAAGTCCGAATGGTAATCTACAAAATGCAAACAATCCTTTTGGCGTATTAATCGTTAATAACTTCCTTACCTCCGGCCTTACGCGTAGTTGCAGATATGCATTAGAGAAATCCATTTTTGAAAAATAAACACTGCCTTTTAGACTAGCCAGTATTTCCTCAATACTTGGCAAGGGATATTTAACCTCTACTACCCATAGATTTACTGTAACACGAAAATATGCGCATAACCGAAGTTTCCTATTGGCTTTCTTCACAGGTACTAACGGAGTCGCCCATTCACTGTACTCCACCGGACATACAATACCTTTCCTTACCCCTTCCTTTCTCCATTCAAACGGTATCCTCCGTAACGCACAAAACTTCAAAACGCAACCATCCTTTAATTTAATGTCTACTTCATAATCTCTGAGGCAACCTAAGTCTTCGTTGAAGATCTCCCGATAACTTTGTAGTAATCTCCGCACTCCTTCTTGCACTCTGGTCACAATTTTCTCCTCTCGTCTTCTTTAATTATCAACTCCTCCTCCCTAGAGATTGTTTCTTCCTCCATTACCGCCCGACTTCCTTTCATCTTTGTATTCGTCATTTCTCGATTTTCCTGCGTGGTGGTATTCAGCACCACTCAATTTTCTTTCTGTGATTCCTCCTTCCTTTCCTTTACCTTTCCTTCATCCTCCCTCCCCGTAATATCACTACCCCTCTCATTGGCTCCAACGTGCCCCGAGTCTTCTCTTGAATCATTATTTGCGGCTTCTCCCTCTGAATTTCTTTCCCCATTTTACCTTTAGGATTCTTCTTCCCTATTTCGCCCTTGGGGTTACCTCTTTTATTTCCGTCCTATCATTACCTCCCTTTATTTTGATCCTCGAATTATTTTCATTTATTCCGCTCCTTGAATTATCGCTCCTTGTTACGCTCCTGGAATTATTTTTCTTTAGTTCGCTCCTTAAATTATCGCTCCTTGATTTATTTTGACTGGTTCCGCTCCTTGAATTATCGCTCCCTGTTTCGATCTTGTAGTTGTTCTTCCTTGTTTCGTTTTTTAAATTATCGCTCCTGGTTTCGCTCCTAGAGTTATTTCTCCTTGTTTCGCTCCTTGTTTCGCTCCTAGGAAGATTTTCGCTGGTTCTCTCATTAAACATGGTCCCAATTCCAGGTAACACATTCTCTCTCAAGGTCACAACGGCATATTCCTCACTCGTTATTGGTACAAATATTCCACACCATAAAAATCCCCAAAAACTATATCATGGACCAATTCTAGTGATCCAATCCCAACCCATCATCGCTTCTATATTTCGATTAATAATCCATAAATCCAATATTTCAACCCTTTTCTCCGATGTTGCCACTATCTCTACCCTACCCATGGCTGCCAACAAAGTTCCATCAAACTGCCTTATTCTCAACCACTCATTCTCTATCCTTTCCCCAGGCCAAATACTTTGATATCCATTATAAACAATTACCGAAATGGCAGCTCCTGTATCAAATAATATAGGAACCATTCTTCCCCCCAAATTTATCATGACCCTAGGGCAAGGATCATGGACTATCCCCTCTTGTAGTATATTTACTATCCCCTCTTGTAACATATATATGCATCCCTCTTTATTTGTTTTTCGCTGATTAAATCCCTCCTCCGTACATCCTAACCATCTCGCCCCGACCTGTACTGCCATTTTTTCACTATCATATAGTCACAAATTCTCACAATCCCTCGCCACATGCCCAAACTTTCGGTATCTAAAACATTCCATATTTTTCCCTTCTAACTCTCCAATATTATTTGTTCGCCCCTCTTCCCCTCTCTCCCGCTCAATAGTCTTCACATTTAAAGCCTTTGGACTCATCCCTCTCTGTGGGAAACCTCCTTTGTTATTGTAATTGTTCGCATTACATTCCTCCTTATTATGCCCAAACCTACCACAACCAGCACATCTTAATATCTCCTGTTTACCCGGACAATAAGGGGCTATATGCCCTAATTTTCCACAACCAAAACATTTCGCCTCCCGGCAATCTCTGAGCATATGACCTGGTTTACCGCAATTATAACAACTCATTACCTCTCTTCCCCGAGATTCAAAATTTTGTCTTAATTCTACTCTCCTTCCCCGAGAATTTTCTCTGGGCTCTCTATACGGTCGCAACATTTGTTTATTTCCAATATTTTGTTTATCAGAGCTATATACATTACTGTTTACATCGCTATCCGTCCACTTTAATTAACTCCTGAACCGGTAACCAAGTAACTTTGCCCATCATATCCTCCTCTCCATTATATCCCTCAATGGTCAAAGTTTGTCCTTTAATTCTAACGCTGCGACTCTTTCTCATTCTCCTGCCCCAAACTAAACTACATATCCATATTAATAGTATTACCAACGCTCCAAAATTATTATACTGAACCTCCCAGTATTTAACAAATTTTAAACTTTTCATCACGTGGTTATAAAAAATTTCAATTTCAAAATAAAAATCTTGGTTATCTGTAATGTCAACAAGTAAGATATTATAAGTAACGTAAATAAGCCAATGATGCACATATACAAGTACGTGCACTTAATAGGTTAATGGATGACAAATTCTTGTAACAGATTTATGTTTAAAATTATTTGGGCAGCACTTCCTACAATTTATTTTTTGATAAATTTGTCTAACACTTTTATAATTCCAAAAATTTTGGCAGCACTTCCGTGTACTTAGCTAATTTTCTTAAATTTTGGGTAAATTTGACTAGTAGATTTGTAATTGGAAAAATTTGGGCAGCACTTCCGTGTATCTAGCTAATTTTCTAAAATTTTGGGTATTTGTCTAATAGATTTATAATTGGAAAAATTTGGGCAGCACTTCCGTGTATCTAGCTATATTTCTAAAATTTTGGGTAAATTTGACTAATAGATTTGTAATTGGAAAAATTTGGGCAGCACTTCCATGTATCTAGCTAATTTTCTAAAATTTTGGGTATTTGTCTAATAGATTTATAATTGGAAAAATATGGGCAGCACTTCCGTGTACTATGATTATTTAGTAAAAATTTAAGCGAATTTCTATCTATATTCGGAGTCTTACTGATACTTTAATTAACGGCAAGCCAAAACCTTAAATTAACAAATATATCACTGTAAACGTCCGCTCCAGGTAATTAATTATTCCAATTAAACTTCTGCCCCACGGGTATAACCTAACTAATTTCTCAAAATAAATTTCAGTCCACAGGTAATTAATTATTCCAATTAAACTTCTGCCTTACGGACCTATCTAATTTATCAAAATAAACTTCCGTCCAAAGGTAATTAATTATTCCAATTAAACTTCTGCCCCAACGGGTATAACCTAACTAATTTATCAAAATAAACTAACGCTAAGGCGCAAGTAATTGGCCACCACTTTTAACTTTACGTAATAATAAAAATCCGATTTTAATACAAAACCTATTATTAAAATGGATCTTACGTAACCAATATTCTTCTTTATAAAGTCTCTTTTTTTTAACAACAATAAATTTTCTTTCTTTTTCTTTTTTACACACACTTTTATTTTTCTTCTACCACAAAATATAAAATCGAAAAAAAGATATGGATTCTTTATTTTTTACTATTTTCAACTATATATACATTTCTACCACAGAATAATATAATAATATAATTATAAAAATAAACAAAACAAAAAATCTATTATTATTTTTATTCTAATACCATATATATATATTTTTTTCCTTTTTGTTTTCTACAATATTATAACGAATATCAAATATCGATTATTATTATTTTTTCATAACTATTTTTCTATCAAGATTTTATCTAATAATAACTACAATTATCGGCTTTGTACCTTTTTGCTATAAAAATCTATATCCACTAAATATTCTTTTTCCCACTTAAGACAATTGTGTATTCAAATTTTATATGTGTATATATATAAAAGATTACCTAAAGAAAATAAATTTTATACCTAAAATAAAAATAGATAAAGAATTATAGAAATCGAAACAAAGTATAATATAATATGATTATTATCACCTACTTTCATCAATTTATTAATAATTGTCACTCATATATGTTTAAAATATTAATTTCTTTGTACACTCAATTTAACATTTTATCTTTAATGTAATAATAAATTGAATGCTGATTTATTTTTAATTAATATTTGAAAATACAATAAATATGTGTAGTTTGTGAAAGTTATTTATTTAATTTTCTATTAAAGTTTAGACCTTGATTTAAATGTAAAAATAAGTTTCCTTTATTAATTCGTAGAGACCTTTAAATCTAGCATATTCTATATATATTCTGTGATTTTTGTCATATATTAATTTTAAAAAGGTCCTCAGAAATATTTTTTTCAGGATTAAATGCCATATGATCTGTATTATTGACCTCTTAAAATAATTTAGACTACCTTCAGATATTATATTCAATCTTTTGTATTCCTATTATTTTCAGACCTTATATTCGATCCTTGATATTTGAATAACATCAGATCTTGTTTATTTCTTGACCTGTTTCTTAGAGTATGCACATTTAGAAATATATTATTATAAGCGTTTTTTAATTATATTCTCGTGGTATTATAAGATTTTTATCTTATACTTTATTCAATAAGGAAATCTTAGATTTATAAATTCCAGTCATCAACATTTAATACAAATTCATCATAAATATTTAACAACAAAATTTTCAATGATAATGATAAAGCTATTAATAAAAACTGATAGTTAAAGAAAATTGGAATTATAATTGATCAATCCTCTACAACACCAGCTGATAATGAGCAACAAGACACCTGCTGATAAGGTAAATTATATAAATTTTTAAAAAATATTAAGAAAAAAAATAAAGAGCAAAAGAAAATTAAAAGAGAAAGAAATGAGTTAAAAGATTAGAAGCTGAGTATTGATGAAAAGATTAGAAAAGAAGTGATAAATAATTGTAAAACAATATCTAGCTGATCAAATTTTTTTTATAACATAATATAATATTAAAAAATATAATTTAGATTGTTATATATCCTATATGAAAGAGTTAGGAATATAAAGAAGAAACAATTATTGATATATTTGAGATATTTTAGTTCTGGCTATTTCTTTTAAAGCCAGTTCTTATTTTGTTTTATTTATATAATAATGTATTGATTAAAAAGAGAATAAAGATTTATAAATAAAAAATTATATTTTTTTTATATAAATTTACCACACAAGATAACACAAAAATATAATTTCAATAAAATATTGAATAGTGTCATTTAATCTAAAATATTGTTATTGAATTAAATTTACATATAATGTATAATAATAATGTTAATATTTATTTTTATAATATTGAAATCTAGCTTGAAAATTAATTTTTTTTAGGATATGAATATGACAACTGAAAAATTATACATCTAGTGAAGGGCAATAATTAAGATTGAAAATATCAAGGATTAGAGGGAACTGAACTTATTTGAATAAATGTTTTTTGTAATCAGTTTTTAGTTTGAACTTTAAAAAATTTTCAAATACTAAATATTTTAATTTGAGATTTCTAAATTTTTTTGGCCTGGTCCAGCCGAAATTTTATATTTTTAAGCCCAGTTCAGATTTTATTTTTAAAAAATTTCTCACTTGGCCTGGTTTAATTATAATATATTTATTTATAATATTTATAGTTAATAATGGTTATTTAAAATAATCGGTTTTAAAATATATGACCTGGCTATTTTTTAAAAAAAATTCAGGCCCAGCCTGGGTATATTTAAAAAATTAAAATACAATCCGACCATGTACCATTTTTGCAATAGTAATATTTTTTAATTATAAATTTAAATAGAAAATAAATTTTTTTGCCAAAATGGAAAAATTGCATAAATATTTTCTTGTGAATAATGACCATCTTTCCTTTTTATCTATATTCTTGTTCCCTTAATATCGATGGTTGCTATCTACTATTTAAAATACCTATAAAATCTATTATGGGTAATTCCATGACAAATTGACCAGTGATTTGGTCGACCATCTCAAAAATGAATGAAACTTGGCATCTTAGTTATTTATGTTGTAGATGTTAATAAAATCCAAATTTTAGAGTGCCAGCTCAACCAGATCCAAAGATATATCCTTTCAAAGTCGAAAATCATGTTTCATTAAATCTTGTTTTTTTTTAAACTTAAGATAGAGTTACAAATTATATATCATATTATAGCTTTTAAAATTTTACATTGGAAAATATCGAAATTTAAAGTGTTTTCTTATTTCCGGTAAAAATAAAAAATTAACATTGTTAGTAGGTAAGGATTTTTTTGGGTGTTGATATTTTCTAAAGATGTTTATTACCTTTATATTAAACACTTGAATAAAAAATTTCGATATCCATTTTTGTTTCTTAATTTTATTAAAATTTTTATTATATTTATAAATAAAAAAAGATAATATAGATGGCGTTATATTCAAAAATCATTATAATATAATATTTTTAATATAATTATGAATGTATTGGGATTAAAATTAAAAAATCAATTGAATATTACCAATATGATGTTCTGGGGCGATATGTTAGCAAAAAGCCCATACAGATAAAAACGAATTCGGTACGAAAGAGCGAAAAAAAAATATGATAAAAATGTTCCCATAATTTATAACTCCACGAAAGTCATGAATTCTATTAATAAATATTATTATTTTGATTGTTATATATGGTAAATATTAAGTATTTTTTAATATTTAATATTAATTTTTTAAATATATAATAAAAATAATTTCTTAAAATTATTCTTAATATCATTTTGTTCTATATATTTTTAATCTAATCTATATCTTTTATCACTAGCCTAATCATTCAATAAAGCAAGTGTTGTTTTAGTTTTTCAAATATTTCATTCTATTATGTTGAGAAAAATCTAGAATTAAAAAGGCAGTATTAAATATATCTACATTCACTTTTTTGATAAGTGTCCCTATCAAAATAATAGGCTCTCGATTTCTTATTTTTAGTGTTAAAGCTTTCTATATATATTAATATTATCTTAAGTATTTATACATTGCAAAGAAGGATTAATTTATATTTGCACTGAATAATATATAATATTAATAACCCAATCATGATATACAAAAATCGAATAGACATAATTCATATTGCATATTAAATTAAATATATATAAAATTATGCCAATAGTAATATAGCGATTATATATAATGTAATATAACAAAATAAATAATTTATTAAAAAACTCTATAAATAATATATCTGTAAAATAAAAGCGAATGGAATATTTACATGAAAATAATATGCATAGATTTTGATTAATTTTTTAAATTTCATGTAATTTTAATAAAAAATATTTAATTGGATAAATTGCGAAATACATATTTGTAAAGGAGCGATAATAACTGTGAAAATGTTTATAAATAAAATAAAAAATTAAGATTTTAATTTAATGATTTTGGAAACCTCATCCAAAAATGTAAGAACATCTTCGCTTTTTCGTAAATATCTGTTAAATTTGAGATCATACGATATTTTATCTCGTAGGAGTAATTAATGCGATTAACCGTTGATCCATTATTTATTTGAATAAGTTTTAGATCATTACTATTTTGATACTTTATTAAAATTTTTATTAATGTATAAATATTAGGATGAGCGTAAGATATTTTTCAGTTCAGGGCATGATGAAATCCCTCTAAATGATTATTGGTGCAGGGACCCAGTACTCCCTACCTAAATTAACAATATATAAATTAGATATTATATAATTTAACATTTTTTATACCTTGACCATATTTTATAAGGAAATAGTGGTCTAACTCCTAGCCAAGTTGTATCCATATATCGCATAAAACTTAGTAACAAAGTATTGTTAGCAGCCATTTGATAGCAAGTATCACGTACTATTGCCACATGTTCATCCCTACAGAACGGGATTGTGCTCATTCTTCGGACTACTTTATGTATATCCGAATGCCCCATGTACGATGCTGATAATCCCAATGTTTGGCATTTTCGCCATAAAGCTTGTGAAAAATGAAAATAACAACCTAAATATATGTATAAAAAAATTAATATATTTAATCTACATTAACCTTTTATTGCCATTGTCGGAAATACGTCATTAAGAGCAGAAATGGCTACGTTTTCAAAATCTGTCTGGGCCAATGATGGACTAAGCCAAATATTGTTATCACCACAATATTTTATAAGGACTCTTAATACCTTTGTATATGTCTCTTTATTTTTGTTTGGCAAAAGAGCATATACAATAGGTATCATTACCTTGTGATACAATACATGAATCACATAGAGCTGATAATATAAACTATGAGCAGAATAAAATGTTCCATCCATATATATTTTATCAGCTCTCTCTGCTAATCTCAGCATTCGAGCTGTTCCAAAGATGATCAACTTATTGCTATCAGTATATAATAAAAATTGTTCCCCCCGATTGGTTAAAGTATATTCGGGAGTCAAATGAATATCCTCTACAAAATGAGGTAACATAGGGCGATATATTTTTATAATTCTATCAATAGTAGTTTTGATAGAGACACACGAAGGGATAGTCTCTGGATAATCTGCAATATCCAAGCTCTCCGAGCAACGAATCTTTATAGCTTTTTCATAAATAGCTAATCTTGTCTCGAGAGGATTTTCTGCTACTACCATTTCTAAGACCTCTTTAGTCCTAAGTTTTTCATAAAAATATGTCTCATGTTGTTGAGAATGAAGACACGTGATAGAATACGTTCCATCAAACTTGCATCTACCTTTGTAGTTTTTATTTCGACACCGATAATAAATAATTAGATCCTTTTTATGATCAATTCTATACAAAAACATGTTATAAAATAACAATGTTTTTCCTTGTTGACTTTTTATAAAACGAGGGCCTTTAATAAATAAAAAAATAATTAATCATTATATATTTTATTTTACTATGACTGTATTGATGTAAATCAATTAACGTATTAGCAACATCAATTTGATAATCATCATCTTCTAAAATAGATTTAATAAATATGTTATGTTTATTTAAAGGGTTGAAAAAAAAAGGAAGATTATATTTATATAATATTATATACTAACCTTCTTTGCATCTAAAATCATTAAATTTATTAAAAACTAATTGGTAAAAAAATATATACTTTCAACAGTAAAGGCATGGCTATCTCTTAATAGAGAGTTGCTTGTAGATTGTATTGAATTTGCATCTAAAATCATTAAATTTATTAAAAACTAATTGGTAAAAAAATTTATACTTTCAATGGCAGTGAGCACTGTGCATCATTATTGCTATTAAGCTGAGTATTTGATCCTTAAATTAATAAATAAAACAAATGTAGTAAAAGAAACTTTTAATTCAATAATTTGAGAGATACCTATTTGGAATTGTATGTTATGAAATATTATACTTGGTAAAGGTTGGGCATCTAGAAGAGAAATCATTTATTATATCAGATTTAATTTATGTACCCTGATTTGACTTACAATTTATATCATGTTTCACACTTATGATAAAATTGTAACCTGCCAACAATTTTCCTCGGCCTCCACACCTTTTTCTACACGTAAAATACGTAGCATTTTTACCTTTTTTATGAAGTATATATTCATAACCTTTATAGATTATGAAATTGTGTCTTTTTTGAGTTTTCTAAAATTATAAAAAAATTTATAAAAAGTTTATATACTTGAATATCTAATTGCCTCCGCCTAAAACTGGTTTTCAAATTATCAGCGACAGTTGGGATTTTCATGGTATTTATTAAAGAAAAGAAAAGTTCTCCATATCAAAAATTTTCTCCATCTTGGGAACATTT